CCAGCTGTTCTGCCCCGGGACTCCAGATTCAGCCGCTGTTGAAACTGATCAGCGGCTGATTCCAGGAAGCCGGGGGCAGATCAACTCTGCCTAGGGCTTCCTGTAGTCAGCCGCTGATCAGTTTCAGCAGCAGCTGGATCTGGAGCCAGTTCCGACTTACATACAAATTCAACTTATGAACAAACCTATAGTCCCTATCTTCTACGTAACCCGGGGACTGCTTGTATATGGCTTGCAAAAACTTTGTATAATGTGTTTTTCTTTCTTCATTTTCAGAGATATATGCTTGGTGTAAGACTATATTACAGAGTAATGGAATCCATGTTAAAGTCGGTAAGTTTAATGAGGATGCATTACTCTTAGTACTTCATTTTTGAGCAGTAAAGCAAATAAAAACTTTGTGTTCATGTATTTCAGGAGGAAGAGCGCTTGTCAGTTCACAATTTTAGGTATGTGTTCCTAATTCATAATAGTAAACCATTATTGGTGTGCTAAGACTAGTATTAAGGCCTGTGTTCTTTTTCAGCAAACTCCTGAACAATAATATCTTCCACACATCTCTTCTGGCCTGTGCTGTTGAAGTTGTCATGGCTACATATGGCAGTAAGTTGAATCTGTAGAAGTAAAAAAATACGATTGTTTGTTTGTTTTAATAGCACGATAGAACTTAGTTAACTAGTAACTACATATGTACTTTAAGCTTAAAGATTTGAAACTTACAAACAGCAGTAAATCAGTAGATACAGAGGGAAAAAATGACTTGTACAGAAGATTTTCACTTTAATGCTGAATAATTTTGATCTTTTTTTATTTCAGGGAATGCTTCACAAAATGATGGCATCAATACTGAAACAAATTTGTCTTTCCCATGGATTCTCAATGTACTAGATTTAAAAGCCTTTGACTTCTACAAGGTGATTGAAAGCTTTATTAAAGCAGAAGCAAACTTGACAAGAGAAATGATAAAACATCTAGAACGCTGTGAACATCGAATTATGGAATCCCTTGCATGGCAATCAGTAAGTAACATTTTAAAAATGGGTAGGGTTGCCAGATGGTTTAACCAAAAATACCAAACATCCTTTCCCCTGCCCCCCTTTCTCCCCCCAAAAAAGAAAAACCACTGAAGACAAATTCTGTTGGGGGGGGGGGGGAACCCCCCAAAAAACCACCACCACCAAAACAAATCCTAGAAGACCAAATTCTCACTGGTATAGTTTAGCTCAACTGACTTCAATGAACATATACTGGTTTACAATTACCTGAAGATGGAGCTCAAAATATTTTAAATATACCATGCCAAAACAAAACTACATAGAATATTTTGGTGTCAGTAAAAAAGAGAAAAATAAAACATAACATTTATTAATTCTTGCTTCTTCCTTTCTTGACGTTTGTTGCTCTCGTTTAGAGCAAGAGCTTTAGTTCAGTACTTGGGTAATATTATTAATGTTGCTGAATACGGAATTACCTTGTCCCCCATACTTGGATCATTTTGGATTTCTTGGTAGCTTTGTGCTGACTTGATCTTGAACAAACTTGTTAATGATAATATGCTTGTTATATGTGGGTACATATTTCAGGCATGCAGTGAAGAAGCAGTTTAATATGTGAGGGGATATGGATCACCAAGGAAGAGTCTGTTCACTGAAATGTTAATGTCTGGTGAAAAACTTTGTTTAGCTTGTTTTAAATGAATCATAAAACTGTATTTCTTTCCTTTATACTGCTGCAGAAATTTTGGTCCTTACAATGAATGTGATCTTTGGATGTATAACTGGAGGAGAGGAGAATATAAATAGTGAGGTGTTCTTTCTATTGTATAAGAAATCAGTGAGATTTCTATTGTATAAGAAACCTGTACTGAAATACTGCATTAAATTCCTATAACACTTTAAAAGGATGTTGAAAAGCTGAGACTGGATTCAGAAAGAGCTAGAAGAATGCTTTGAGGTCTAGAAAACCTGCCTTACAGGGAGAGAGTAAAGAGGCTCAGTTTATTCAAGAGAAAGTTTTAAGGTGATGACTGGATCAGTCAATAAGCACTTAAGGGGCTTCTTGGTGCATTAAACAAACGCATAACAATGGATGGAACAGATTATCAAGGGAAATGTTTTATTCTTCATATTCTAGTATCTTCAGATCAAGACAACACTTTTCTAGAAGATATGCTTTAGCAGAGTAGTAGGTACCTTTTATTTAGCACTGTAATAGAGGCAGCTAGAGCACAACTGGAGCTGGAGAGTTTGCGAATGAGGAACTCTCTTGTATTGACCATCTTTTAGATGGTTTCAAAATGTTGTCTAATGTCCTTTTGAGGAGAAGATAGAGTTGAGGTGGACTGGAATTACTGTTGACTCTCTTGTTAAAATCCAGTCTTATTGCCAAGAAGACACAACAACACAAAACATATACAAAAGGGGAAAGAGAAGACTAGCAAAGACAGAAGCATGCACATGGTGTTTTAGTGAACTTGCAAACTTTTATTAGTATTTGGCTGTTTAGGGCAATGCTTTAGCTGCCGCTTTCTGGTCACAAGTAGGGTTGCCAGGTATCTGGTTTTCACCCGGACAGTCTGGTATTTGCAGGCTTCGTCCAGTTAAAAAAACAGGAAATACCGGACATGTGCAATGTCCAGTATTTCCTGTTCCCCTGGGTCGGAAGCCCATCGGGGACAATTTTCCCCTGCCACATATGGCGGGGGGAGGGAGTGAGGAGCACAGCAGAGTCTAGCGAAGAGAGGCAGGAGGGGGCAGTTGCCCGGCGCCAAGCTAGGGGAGCGCTGGGTTGGGGTGGGAGCGGAGTGCACACTGCTCGGGCCCATGTGACCAGCAGAGACTGGGAACTGGCCACATGATGCCGCTCTCTCTCTCTGTAGTGCGAGCCGGGCCAGGCGGCAGGAGCAGACGCTTTAAAAGTCAAATTGTTCCTCCATGCCTGGCTCTGCGGGAAGGGAGGGAGGAGAGCGCTGGGATGAGGGGGACACTGCGGGGGGCCTGGGTCTGAGGCAGGGGTGAGTGCATTGGGATGGGGGACACTGGGGGGGCCTGGGTCTGAGGCAGGGGGGGATGGATT